CATTTTCTACATTTCATGAAATCATCTCCATTCTCCAATTACATGTTTTGAATGAACAAGGGTCATAGGCACCTCCTTAAGATGAAAAGATATGAAAATAGGCCTTTTTGAAAATTCATAATTTTTGTCCAAAATGAGGGGCTAACCCCTTGCCATTTTTGTCAAAAAGGGGCATTTTCTACATTTCATGAAATCATCTCCATTCTCCAATTACATGTTTTGAATGAACAAGGGTCATAGACACCTCCTTAAGATGAAAAGATATGAAAATAGGCCTTTTGAAAAATTAATAATTTTTGTCGAAAATGAGGGGCTAACCCCTTGCCATTTTTGTCAAAAAGGGGCATTTTCTACATTTCATGAAATTATCTCCAATTACATGTTTTGAATGAACAAGGGTTATAAACAACTCCTTAAGATGAAAAGATATGAAAATAGGCCTTTTTGAAAAATCATATTTTTTGTCCAAAATTAGGGGCTAACCCCTTGCCATTTTTGTCAAAAAGGGGCATTTTCTACATTTTATGAAATCATCTCTAATTACATGTTTAGAATGAACAAGGGTCATAGACACCTCCTTAAGATGAAAAGATATGAAAATAGGCCTTTTTGAAAATTCATAATTTTTGTCCAAAATGAGGGGCTAACCCCTTGCCATTTTTGTCAAAAAGGGGCATTTTCTACATTTCATGAAATCATCTCCATTCTCCAATTACATGTTTTGAATGAACAAGGGTCATAGGCACCTCCTTAAGATGAAAAGATATGAAAATAGGCCTTTTTGAAAATTCATAATTTTTGTCCAAAATGAGGGTCTAACCCCTTGCCATTTTTGTCAAAAAGGGGCATTTTCTACATTTCATGAAATCATCTCCATTCTCCAATTACATGTTTTGAATGAACAAGGGTCATAGACACCTCCTTAAGATGAAAAGATATGAAAATAGGCCTTTTGAAAAATTCATAATTTTTGTCGAAAATGAGGGGCTAACCCCTTGCCATTTTTGTCAAAAAGGGGCATTTTCTACATTTCATGAAATTATCTCCAATTACATGTTTTGAATGAACAAGGGTTATAAACAACTCCTTAAGATGAAAAGATATGAAAATAGGCCTTTTTGAAAAATCATATTTTTTGTCCAAAATTAGGGGCTAACCCCTTGCCATTTTTGTCAAAAAGGGGCATTTTCTACATTTTATGAAATCATCTCTAATTACATGTTTAGAATGAACAAGGGTCATAGACACCTCCTTAAGATGAAAAGATATGAAAATAGGCCTTTTTGAAAATTCATAATTTTTGTCGAAAATGAGGGGCTAACCCCTTGCCATTTTTGTCAAAAAGGGGCATTTTCTACATTTCATGAAATCATCTCCATTCTCCAATTACATGTTTTGAATGAACAAGGGTCATAGACACCTCCTTAAGATGAAAAGATATGAAAATAGGCCTTTTGAAAAATTCATAATTTTTGTCGAAAATGAGGGGCTAACCCCTTGCCATTTTTGTCAAAAAGGGCCATTTTCTACATTTCATGAAATCATCTCCAAATACATGTTTTGAATGAACAAGGGTCAGAGACACCTCCTTAAGATGAAAAGATATGAAAATAGGCCTTTTTGAAAAATCATAATTTTTGTCCAAAATGAGGGGCTAACCCTTGCCATTTTTGTCAAAAAGGGGCATTTTCTACATTTCATGAAATTATCTCCAATTACATGTTTTGAATGACCAAGGGTCATAGACACCTCCTTAAGATGAAAAGATATGAAAATAGGCCTTTTTGAAAATTCATAATTTTTGTCCAAAATGAGGGGCTAACCCCTTGCCATTTTTGTCAAAAAGGGGCATTTTCTACATTTCATGAAATTATCTCCAATTACATGTTTTGAATGAACAAGGGTCAGAGACACCTCCTTAAGATGAAAAGATATGAAAATAGGCCTTTTTGAAAATTCATAATTTTTGTCCAAAATGAGGGGCTAACCCCTTGCCATTTTTGTCAAAAAGGGGCATTTTCTACATTTCATGAAATCATCTCCATTCTCCAATTACATGTTTTGAATGAACAAGGGTCAGAGACACCTCCTTAAGATGAAAAGATATGAAAATAGGCCTTTTTGAAAATTCATAATTTTTGTCGAAAATGAGGGGCTAACCCCTTGCCATTTTTGTCAAAAAGGGCCATTTTCTACATTTCATGAAATAATCTCCAATTACATGTGTGAATGAATAAGGGTCATAGACACCTTCTAAAGATGAAAAGATATGAAAATAGGCCTTTTTGAAAATTCATAATTTTTGTCCAAAATGAGGGGCTAACCCCTTGCCATTTTTGTCAAAAAGGGGCATTTTCTACATTTCATGAAATCATCTCCATTCTCCAATTACATGTTTTGAATGAACAAGGGTCATAGGCACCTCCTTAAGATGAAAAGATATGAAAATAGGCCTTTTTGAAAATTCATAATTTTTGTCCAAAATGAGGGGCTAACCCCTTGCCATTTTTGTCAAAAAGGGGCATTTTCTACATTTCATGAAATCATCTCCATTCTCCAATTACATGTTTTGAATGAACAAGGGTCATAGACACCTCCTTAAGATGAAAAGATATGAAAATAGGCCTTTTGAAAAATTAATAATTTTTGTCGAAAATGAGGGGCTAACCCCTTGCCATTTTTGTCAAAAAGGGGCATTTTCTACATTTCATGAAATTATCTCCAATTACATGTTTTGAATGAACAAGGGTTATAAACAACTCCTTAAGATGAAAAGATATGAAAATAGGCCTTTTTGAAAAATCATATTTTTTGTCCAAAATTAGGGGCTAACCCCTTGCCATTTTTGTCAAAAAGGGGCATTTTCTACATTTTATGAAATCATCTCTAATTACATGTTTAGAATGAACAAGGGTCATAGACACCTCCTTAAGATGAAAAGATATGAAAATAGGCCTTTTTGAAAATTCATAATTTTTGTCGAAAATGAGGGGCTAACCCCTTGCCATTTTTGTAAAAAAGGGGCATTTTCTACATTTCATGAAATTATCTCCAATTACATGTTTTGAAAGAACAAGGGTCATAGACACCTCCTTAAGATGAAAAGATATGAAAATAGGCCTTTTTGAAAATTCATAATTTTTGTCCAAAATGAGGGGCTAACCCCTTGCCATTTTTGTCAAAAAGGGGCATTTTCTACATTTCATGAAATCATCTCCATTCTCCAATTACATGTTTTGAATGAACAAGGGTCATAGACACCTCCTTAAGATGAAAAGATATGAAAATAGGCCTTTTGAAAAATTCATAATTTTTGTCGAAAATGAGGGGCTAACCCCTTGCCATTTTTGTCAAAAAGGGCCATTTTCTACATTTCATGAAATCATCTCCAAATACATGTTTTGAATGAACAAGGGTCAGAGACACCTCCTTAAGATGAAAAGATATGAAAATAGGCCTTTTTGAAAAATCATAATTTTTGTCCAAAATGAGGGGCTAACCCCTTGCCATTTTTGTCAAAAAGGGGCATTTTCTACATTTCATGAAATAATCTCCAATTACATGTGTGAATGAATAAGGGTCATAGACACCTTCTAAAGATGAAAAGATATGAAAATAGGCCTTTTTGAAAATTCATAATTTTTGTCCAAAATGAGGGGCTAACCCCTTGCCATTTTTGTCAAAAAGGGGCATTTTCTACATTTCATGAAATCATCTCCAATTACATGTTTTGAATGAACAAGGGTCATAGACACCTCCTTAAGATGAAAAGATATGAAAATAGGCCTTTTTGAAAATTCATAATTTTTGTCCAAAATGAGGGGCTAACCCCTTGCCATATTTTTCAAAAAGGGGCATTTTCTACATTTCATGAAATCATCTCCATTCTCCAATTACATGTTTTGAATGAACAAGGGTCAGAGACACCTCCTTAAGATGAAAAGATATGAAAATAGGCCTTTTGAAAAATTCATAATTTTTGTCGAAAATGAGGGGCTAACCCCTTGCCATTTTTGTCAAAAAGGGCCATTTTCTACATTTCATGAAATCATCTCCAAATACATGTTTTGAATGAACAAGGGTCAGAGACACCTCCTTAAGATGAAAAGATATGAAAATAGGCCTTTTTGAAAATTCATAATTTTTGTCCAAAATGAGGGGCTAACCCCTTGTCATTTTTGTCAAAAAGGGGCATTTTCTACATTTCATGAAATTATCTCCAATTACATGTTTTGAATGAACAAGGGTCATAGACACCTCCTTAAGATGAAAAGATATGAAAATAGGCCTTTTTGGAAATTCATAATTTTTGTCGAAAATGAGGGGCTAACCCCTTGCCATTTTTGTCAAAAAGGGGCATTTTCTACATTTCATGAAATCATCTCCATTCTCCAATTACATGTTTTGAATGAACAAGGGTCATAGACAACTCCTTAAGATGAAAAGATATAAAAATAGGCCTTTTTGAAAATTCATAATTTTTGTCCAAAATTAGGGGCTAACCCCTTGCCATTTTTGTCAAAAAGGGGCATTTTCTACAAATTACATGTTCGAATGAACGAGGGTCATAGACACTTTCTAAAGATATGAAAATAGGCCTTTTGGGAAATTCATAATTTTTGGCCAAAATGAAGGGGCATTTTTCTTTATTTCATGAAGTCATCTCCGATTACATGATTAGAATGAATAGGGGTCATAGACACCTTCTAGAAATGAAAATGGGCCTTTTTCGAAAATTCATCTTTTTTTGCCCAAAATGATAACTAACCCCTTGCCATTTTTGTAAAAAAAGTGCATTTTCTACATTTCATTTGACTAAAATGGCAGAGGAATTTACAGCCAACTACTAGTGTTATTGTGTCAAGACACGTCCTATTTAGGTGTAAAGTTTGTGAAATACAAATGATGGATCCTGTTTATTGACAATTTTTATATGCAAGAAATAATCAGAAGAGTTGATTGTAAAATTGTCTGACCATTTGTCTTTGTCTATGTCACAGAATTTAAGGGAGTATTAGCTTTTCGTCAGCAACACAAGGTACCCAGTGCTTTTGGCCGCTCCGACATCTACGTTGTGACACGCCTTAAACCTCTGACCTTTGACATCAACATCTGTACCACGGAGCTGACCAACGCGGCCTGGACTCCAGTGGACGAGCTCACTACGACAAACGAGCACACTCATCTGACCGTCCGCATGGCTCAGTTGATACAGCATGGTTTTTTAGAAGGGTTTGAGAAGGTGGATATCAGCATGCATGAACTGCCTTCAGTCTATAAGAATACGACGTATAAACTGTTCCATAGGCCTCTCTCAAGCTCCAGTACATGACCCCTCTTGAGCTCCACTATATGACCCTCTCAGGATTAGATAGATGAATTTATATAATGCAAATATTGCAGAAATATAGAGGCCGAAATAAAGGAAAAAAAAATATATATCATGCATGCCTGATTACAGTCTGAAATGACAGAATTTGAAAAGAAAAAAAAAAGACCTTCCCCCAAAAAATAATTGTAGGTATTCTGAAAAATAAATGTTTTCCTGCCCTTTGATGGAAAGACTTTTTAATGAGGGAAAGTCGTAATTAATGGGAAATTGTAACTTACCGTTGATGGCAAAGTTTAATACCCTCATGGTCATTACTGAGATCGTACATTTCCTGTAATGGCTACCGGTTTATAGATCAAGATTATACTGAAACATTATGAAAAAATTAATCTACAAGATTCCCCACCAAAACATGACGTACCATGTGAAGTCGTTTATCAAGAACGCATTTTCTATATAGCCATTATAGGAAATGTACGACCTCAGTACCGTAATTCATTCAGGTGTACAAGTTTGAAAATGAAGACGATAAAAGATCATGTGCTTTGTCATAAGGTGAAAGTATATTTTCAAACACAGGTGTTGACATGTCACAAATAAACGTGCAAGAAAGAGATTCATAGATACAATGTTGGGGAAAATTAAATATGTCACAGCTTTTTTTTATAAATACATGTTCTTAGACTCACTTGTCCTAAACGGAATGTAAGCTGTATAAAGGGGAGGGAGAATCAAAATATACAGGAAGCAGTAATGTTGCGTTTTACATATAAGAAGAGAATAAAACATTTACAGCAGGTTTTTGTACAGAGCTCATAACGACCCCAGGACATTAAAGCTCGGTAATACGCCCAAAAATAGTTCCCTTTAATTCTGCCTTCCATATTCGTCCATATTGCAAGGTTTATTTCCAAATATTTTATTTACCTCGAATACAGGCAAGAAAATGTCTACAAAATCTAGGCATTAAGGAGCATGTACACCGTATCTATACTGTATGATTCAATTATCCTAGTTTACTGAGATTGTCAAATCTTCATTACCATTAAATTCCTGATTAAAATAATATTAACCAAAATTTTAGTTCAATTAATTCTCCTAGTCAAATAAAATCTGTTATAGACGTGTGCGAGCTTAAAGCCCACTCTAATTTTCAAAAATTAAAGCTCGTTGTTAAAACTGCCAAATATCAATCTGAGGAGCATAAGTCGCATCCGTGCGCCAAATGTTTGCTCAAAAGATCGCCTGATTGGTATTTGGCAGTTTTAACCTTTGATTTATTTACAACATGCTATAATTTTTGAAAATTGGGCTTTGAGATGAATTTACGACAGGATTGTATCATGAAATTTAAGAGAAATCATCCAGATACTAATGCACCGTTAATGTTGCAATGCTTTTTCATCCATGATCTAGCACCCTCTGCCTTTCATCTTATTCTTGGTGAAACCATTAATCTGTAGCAACCCTTTGCTTTGTCAGAGGCTCGCCCCACATAACATTTACAAATTCTCTTGACAGCATTTTCAATTCAGCACTTTCTTTAGACATTTTCATAAATTACACATTTCTGAAGAATAGACCAGTTTACTAATGTATCCAAATAATGTTGAATAACTTGTCACCATGGATTCTAGAAAGAAACCTACATAAATTTGAATACATTAGTAAACAGGCCTAATACAGCTCATAGCACCTAACTCCTAGAATCCCACAACCATTAAGTTGCTGAAATCATTGAATTTGCAAACTTATGAGGTTGACTACATCATGTAGTTCAATAGAGGGATTGAAAGGACTACACAAACAAGGTGGGGACCGAGGCGATCAAAAATAATATCTAATACAGAAAATAATACATAATTGGCACTTGAAGCATTCACGACCCCCACAACAAAAGTGGAGGTAAATTTTGTGGGATTTTGCATGATTGAGGATGAGAACTCACACTTTGCAGTTTGGTTCAATAACTTTTCATTGAGAAAGCTACGAATTAATATACACGAAGCATGTGAAGAATTTCTGCATCTACAGTATCCCTTTTTGTATGAATAACGATATTACAATCTTTAAATTGGCAACAACTTTGCTGGGTCTTTTTTTTCAAAAGTTTGGAATATCAATATATATTGAGATGAAAACAAAGAACATGATCACTCCTTTGAATAGGGAAAAACCCCAAGACACAAAAATAAAATAGTTCAAAATATGTTTCAGCTTCAGGCGTGGCTTGTACCCCCAAGAACCCAATAGCAAAGCACAGAGAACTGATAACAAGCGATAGCACTCTTCAATAGAACATTTCCTACGCTACTACCCTTACACATCTTAAAACACACACACATATATAAAGACAGAAATCTCTAGGTATTACTCTCTAAGTATTATAGACAACACTCTCTTATGTATCTCTATACTCTATCGTATATAAATCTATCTATTTCACTGGCTGGCTGATAACTTTTTGTCCACCTTCCTCAACAAGTAAAATCATAAAAAGGCACCATTTTTGTTTCTTATTTAAAATAGCACAAGCAAATTTCACATAATTTTTTTCGTGATATGTCTGCTTGATCCGTATATAGGTGTATAAATTCAGATATTGGCACTTAATAGGCAGGCAAATCTTATGTGCACTTGGCGTTAAAATCAATCTCATTTGAATGCTAATCAATAGTGCGAGTTAGGTAAATGGGAATTCCCCTTTTCATTCGGTATTGAATGATACATGTGTCAAGTGAATAACAAATACATAAACCGGCTGATTGCTATTATTCAGAGAGTTCATACACATGTCGTTAATATGGGCAAGGATTTTGGACTGATAATTTCCAGATAAGGCACCCAAAATGTTCATTTTATATTGAAGTTGGAAAATAGAATGCAAAATGGTAGAGTGATTATTATATTCTTAATTTGCAAACAATTCATTATATTTGTGTAGATTCTATGGCAGAAGTACTGTGCTTTACATGTACTGATATATGAACAGAAATCCAAAAAATAATTGGAATGGGTGAAGAACTCTTACTTTGTATTTCATCACTTTCGCACTAAAGAAATGGTTTGATCCTATCCTTCTAAAAACACCCATTTTCTGCTTGTTTTCAGCAGAAATTTTATATATACTAAAACTACTGTCCATATAGATTTCAGATTGATAAGTTTAAAGGGGGTAATATCATGGCACATACATAACATAGAGACACTATAGAGAGGTACACATCAACCCTGTACTGTATACATCAACCAGCCAGCGTCTAAAAAAACAAGAAATGAAAAAGGTGGAAAAAGAAATGCAACCTCAGAAATACTGCTCTATAAAAATCTGTATAGCTTAAAAAGAAAAGAAAGAATCGTACAGAACTGATCACAATTTTAAAGACGACATTAACAACCCATGTACAGCAATAAATACAGTAGTTACACGTATGTACGTAGCACAATGTGGAAGCAATAGTCTGTCCGTCCGTCACACGACTACTTGCCCTCCATTCCTCTCTCTAAAAAAAATGTGGAATAAATATGTACAATATTGAGAGAGCAGTGGCGCATTAGATACTCATTCATTCATTATTCAATAATAGCAACAGTAAAATTGTACAAGCGATTTTTTTTGTAATATCTCTACATTTACAAAGCGTACTCTGTTCTCTTTTGTGACAATGATCTTTTCTACACACTCGATGTACGACATTCACAATATAAATATACACTGGCATGACTATGTCATGTTTTATGATTTTGCGAGTTGAGACACTCGGAATATTTTGCAGCGATTTGTCTAATCACGAGATCATTTTCTCCTCCTCACTTTCCTCGAGTTGACTTGATTATCTTGGCAGATTCTATGACACAGTCTGTACCACACATTGATCAGTTCATTGGTTTGTAGACGATTAGGGATAACTTTGGCTCATCTACGGAATTTGAGCATCGACACAATTTTAAGTAGCAGCCTACAGCGGTCTCAAACTCTCACCTATAATGTCAATTTTGAAAACAATTAGGCAGTTGGTTCAACAATGCAAATTTTATGAAATATGCAACCATCTAGTTTCTTTTGGAATATGTATGAGAAACCCATGTGTATGGCTAGATGTACCATGACCAAATAAGTGTAATGGCAGCAAATATTAAAACACCATGTTCCAGTAAGTCTTCTAAAGAAATGGCAATATTTCATTTAAAAGAGGGAGAGAAATATTAAGATGATTCCAGAAGTAATAATTGATAAATTGTGGCTGGAAGCCCTAGTTCACTTCATGAACATGTTAGTTTCTTTTTTCTTCTTCCAATTATCAAAGGATAAAATCCAATTATCAAAGGATAAAATGGCTTGATATGATGGCATTTGGGCCCTTGAATCAACAGTCTCTTCGAGATTTACATTCAGAAAAACAATAATGCCATTCGCTTCTTGACTTGGGACGAAGCAATGAACTCTTAATAGCTGTCGGAACACAAAATACAATGTTTTGACATGGCTTCTTTCATCACTGAAAACTTTTAGCTTTCCGTCATAAAAACAAGTACAAAAATAATGTTTTGGAAACTAAAAATTCCTGTGGATTTGAGTAAACAAGACCAGGTTTCAAAATAATTGAATTGTGGAGTAATAACAATTTCAAAAACAATTTAAATTGAAAATTCTAACGATTATTCCATTGTTTTTAGAGCAAATTCAGAAAATATATTTCAATAAAGATTCTAAGAAAAGGTAAATTAGAAAAATAAATGGTAAACATGTTTGTGCAGTAGAAGTCCTACTTATATTCAAAACTGGCGAAAAAAAAATCCAGAACAGCTCTTCTTCGTCAATATTTCTTTTCTGCTTCATATTAAGAGGGAAACTGTATATGTCAAAACTTGTTATTCCAAACCAGTCATATATAAAAATATATCCTAAAAAATGTTTCCCTTTATTTCTGTAAATTCCTAATAGGATCTACTTCATTTCATTTTATGCAATCATTTTAAGACCTCACAATCCTCTTAGGATTATTTAGAATGGTCATTTGGAAGAATTGAATTCATAATTTTGTCGAGTTTCCAAGGCATAATCATCCATGATATATAAGGTGGAAAAAAAAGGTGATTAACTCCAATTTCGTATTATAATTCAGCTGTTTTTGCCTTGTATGAAACATTATTTTGATCTCTGAACACGAAAGATTTCATTGCTTGAAATGAAGAAAAAAGATCTGTCATTAGCATATACATTATCAACACTGTGTACAAAAACACATATTCCCCAGGGTTTTTTTTAATCAATATCAAATATCTATTTTTACTTTACTGCTCATCTGTGGTTTGAGATTTAAAAATAACTTCTTTAACCTGCAATGATTTTTAGTATTTGGACTAACAACCATTCTTCTATTTCCCCATAATCATAAAAGCCCATTTCTGCAACCATGATTAATATAATTTTCCATCAAGGCTGGAATGAAGGCAATTTTGTAACTGGTTTGAAGAAAGAAAAAAATTTCTTCATCATGAAAAATTGAGCTGCATGCTTTTGCTGTCCATCACAGATTAGTTTTCATCCACAGAGCTCAATTGATGAGAATTAATAATGCATCAGTAAGTACAGGACTGTAGGATTCTTCTTCAGATTGAAACTAGCACCGACTTCTTTGTTCATCTGTAGAAGGTACTCGGTGTTACTTTAGCACAATACTCTGTAGCTCAGTTGAGACTTGGGTTTCTCATGACCGATTGATCCCCTGCTGCCGACTACAATGATATTTCTTGAAACTGTGTACAGTGGTGACAGGTTTTTTCTTGACGATAGCACTCATTTACTTAATATATTTGGTAGCGCGATGTCCATTCTATGGCATATAAGAGAGTGCTCGTGGCATTGGCACTGAAGTATGGTGTTACCATGTCCATTTTAAATACACCAGCTCCATAGCATGGCTTGCTTGGATAGCTCTTTTATTTAACACCAGTGTTTAACACCGTGAGTCTGGTGCGGCGTCTGTCTCACAAGCGTCTGAGGTTAGTTAGCCCTCTACGGACGTAGTGGACCAAGTCCCGAGTACTGCTGTGAAGTGTAAGCTCCCCGCACTCTCGCGCCAAATCCCGGAAGAAATCTGTGGAAGAGGTACAAGGAAGGTGTGGTGTAATGCAAAGTTTTAAAAAGAAAAGTTCATCGTCAAAAGGAAAAATGTTCTAGAAGTTAACCTAATTGGTTGATTATGGGGTAAGGACGAAGAGTTACTTGATGTGAAGTTTGAAATTATTAATAACTTATATAACAAATTTACTATATCATACTTAAAACAATGGAAAGCCCCAAACAAATATATGGGCATGGGTCTTCACAAACATATGGTACCAAACTTTGGTCTAAAGTTGTACACTATTGCCACTTTGCCAGTATTATTTAAAGTATGAAAACACATCACAAGCAATATATTCATTGGAAATTGCTGGTGATATATAAAAGAATGAGAGAGTCCAAAACAAGTTACCGGTAATACTTTTGGCAAATCGCACAATACTGATCAAACCACAATGACATTCACATCCCAACAGGTACACATTCAACACCTGGATGGAGAGACGTATTGTAGATAAAAATGCATGGCTTGAGGGTGTACTAGCTTACCTTTGTTCTCTTCTGTGAGTATATCAGCCTGCTCCCAGTATTGTATGCTGTAGAGACTGTAGTTGGAATAGGTGAGGAACTGGGACATGATACGGACGATGTGTTGCGGCATGGCTACCGTCGAAGACTGCGGGTTCAGCCCATTGCACAGTTTGGCCCCGGGGCCGGAGGGAGGGGCTGGGCCGCCCCCTGAAGTCTGGGAGGGGACCAGATCGCTGGACGTGCTCCCCTGCGAACCCATGCTGCAGGCCGAGCCCACGCTGCCCGCTGCGGAAGGGGTGGGAGAGACGGGGGACGGGGTGCCTGTGTACCTGTAAGGGTGATTGTAAATAAAGAAAATGGATGTTATGTTGATTGGTTAATGAGAGCTTTCAAGAATAAACAGATATTTGATGCCAGCAATTCCCAAGGAATTTTGTCCCTTATCAGTTGCTACCAACTATTTAAAGATCTTAGTGTACATGATTGCATGAAGTTACTAATTATTATTATCATTATTATTATTATTATTATTATTATTATTATTATTAATGAAATTACATGAATGCATATATATATACATATACCGTAACAGAATTTGAACAGAATTATCACTCTTGTTTGTGGGCAGACGAAATGCCAATTGGACTCATTCCAGACTTGCCTCCTTCTCCTTTATAATTCCTCATACCTTGCTCTTTACAATCTGTCACATAAAAGGCCAAGTAAAAATACATTCAAAGTTTCTTGCCAAGTTTTGAACATAAATACAGTAGACTATAAAATACAACATAGAATTTTAAGCGTGTATCATGTCCTATTAGTATCCCTTTTAAAACATTTCAAAATCTGTCTAAAAAATCCCACAGGGCATACAAACAAATTGATTTAAAAAAAACCATACAAATAAACAAAAAAAAACAATGGATTTTGTGAAATAAAAGGAAAATGAGACAAAGGAATCATCCATATGTATATTCCTTTAAATCAAGACAAGAATTCTCTAAGCAGAGGCCTGGATTAACCTTTTGAAGTTACCCTGATACCATGGCTGATTCCTCCTGCCTGCATCACGGTCACAACGGGAAATACGAAAATCAAATTTCCTTGCCAGCCTAAGTGATGTAACATATGCAGCTAGTCTACATACAAACAGACCCCTTTTCTACTTCACAAAGGTGCACAGATTGCCACATGTAATTACAAACTCAAGCTTGAAAGTCAGACTGAATGCTTATCCTTCTACTTCTCAACCTATTTTGTATTTAATGGCTTGTTGCTTATTTGATACCTCCACTTTCCAAGTCTTTTTATGATTTGAGGCAGACAAATAAGTGTTTGTGGATTAGGGGTCTGGTGGAGGAGACAATGTGATACCCTCAATATTGTGTGCAGAATGAGATGCATTAAATGAAAATAGATTGAAGATTTTGAGCTCTAGTTCCCCCACACTCCCACTCAACATGAAGAAATCAACATAAATTGAAACAATAAATATAAAGAGAAACCTTCCTCCTTCGAAAGTGTACAATTTATGTGGGTTTTTTATTACAATTTATTTCTAATCATACTAATAAAAATATCTACATCATGTACATAACAATTATTTGAAATTTATCTTGTTCATTAAACCTGCCCGCTTGTCCATCTGCAAATGGTTCTCCATGTCTGTCTGTCTCTGTCACCTTCTCTCCCCTCAGTCTAAATCTACCCCTTCCCTTCCTCATCTCTCTATCCTTAGAATCTTTATAATTTTCCAATTTCCATACATGGTGCAGTGTCAACCTTTACTGACAGTTTGCATTATCCTTTGATCTGCACTGTGAATTGCTTATAATACAGGAGCAGAAAGAGCCAAAAATCACTTGTAAATTTAAATCCCATTCTGTTGCACTGGATTATGCTGTTGAATAATTTTACTTTTCCTGAAAATAACCTTTGAAATCTCTAGCTTGGCAATGTATAATTGAATCATTTATCAGCTGTCTTCAGCTCACACACCCGTATCCAGTACAAAATGGCTTTTAAAAACAAAAATGTCTTTCATGCAATTCCATAAAATACACAGATTTCTATATAAGAGAAAAATAAAAGATTATCTACATACGCCCCGATTCTACTCTTCAAAAACTGAACCAATTCTGGCCAGAGCAAAATGTCAGATGGCCACTGTAGAATATACCTTGAGGAGAGTTCATTAATTGTCAGCTCACTCCTATTGTACGTACCTTGAAGACGAGTTCCATGAAGATGGATTCTGCTGTAACGGAGGTTGAGGTTTGGATGATGTGCCCTTGAGATGCTCAGTTAGCGCCCTCGATAGATTCATCGCTGATTGTCGCTTCAGCTTGAACATGTGCATGTTGAGCAACGCTTGGCAACGGTAGCTGCAAAGAGAAAATACAAAAGTCATGCACTATACATGTACAGGTTTTGTTCTTATCTCACTTCTTAAAACAGTGTTTTCACAGAAATTCAATTTCATACTGACAGCCTCTAAAACAATTTCATGTTGAGGAACGGTAGCTGCTTAGTGAAAAAAGTATATTCTCAGGTTATTTCACATCTGAACAACGTTTTTATTAAATTTTGTAATTTTGTGCTGACTGCCTCTTCAGCTTGAATAATAGCATGCTAAGCAGCACTTCACTACTGTAGCTGCAAAGAACAAAGTCAAGTATAGTATTTCATATCCATCCACATTTGATTGCAGTGAATTTGATTTGATTGAAGTTATCTTGGTTTTGGTATGAACAAGATACTGCAAAGACACTTAGAATGGTGCAATAATTTCAAGTTACGAGTGTACAAGCATCGTAGAAACCAATAATTTGATACGATATCCAATTATGATATTAAATACAAGATAATTTGATAAATGCAACCTCTGACATTTATCATTCTTACATTTGTTAGCCAGATATAGAATTACTCATCTACCATCATTTAAAAGCATATAAAAGAATGTCAATTTTTTTCATATTTATGTCAATGCTGATTTTCAATAATTTATTCAACTTATGCAAAGAGGATTGCCCTGAATATTAATTTCAGGAAAATGGTTGTATGAACTCACCACAACACGGCTAGTTTGTTATCATTGCTATTCCCCTCCTGGCCATTGTGAATACCTTTAAGCTTTAGAATATATCTGTGAATCAATAAGAAGGAGATATAGAGACAAGGAAAGAAAGGGAGAGAGAGAGAGAAATAGGATAGAAAGAGGAAGAGAGAGAGAGAGAGAGAGAGAGAGGAAGAGAGAGAGAGAAAGAGAAAGGGGGAGAGAGATGGAAAAGGTGGGGGAGATATACGAGTAGAAAACCAACAGACATAGGGAGAGGGGGACAGAGGAGAGGAGATGGAGGGAGAGAGGAGAGAAAGACAAAGAGGAACAAAAAGAAAACAGAAAGAGGAAGATATAGAAAGAGAACGAGAGACAGAGGTAGGGAACAAAATATAGATTAATTTGATGCTGCAAACAATCACAGCAGGGTAATATCACAAACATATTTTAAACCATGTCACCACCTTTTTTGCAACAACATTTTGAGTTTGAAGAATGGGTTCACCAACATTTAGGTCAACAAAATTGATAAACAAAGAGAAATTCATCTATTGAGTAAAAACACCTACCCTCTCAAAAAATATCAGCAACACAATAACACATTTTGCAAATACTGAACTGAAGAACAAAATGAAGAAAAAAAAACTCTACTCGGGTTAAAAACAACTATTGATGATTTACCATAAAAACGGCATGACAGATAAACATGTTTACAAGATGAAAGAGTCACATGGGATGGATAATCTGATTCTATTTTCCTTCTTGCCCCTGTAAATTGAACTGCATTTGATGCAACCACTATCTATGACGGATGGAGTGTTTACAGCAATCTGATACTGTCTGTTAGCCGAGAGCCAGAAGGGCATTAATTCATATCCTTAAACAAAGAGTTAACGTCCTTCTGGCTCTGTAAAAAAGCATTATCTGAGTCTGTCTCTTTGACCCGCTGGTAGGTTAGTAGGTGGGGAATTACCTTTTGAATACCTAAAACAAATTACATTAAATCATACTTATCAGAAGGGAACACATCAGTTTTTGAATACCCTTAATGATCCTAAGTGAAGTGCATGACACTAAATAATTGATTAAATCTAAAGTTCGTTCACATTCTGCGGTTTTACATTCTTTGACTGCACTTCATATTTTTTTGTCTTTTAACACAAAGATATGAGAGTATGCACAGGATCATCGTTGCATGCAGCTTTTTTTTCCATCGATACTTGCTATTCTATTCAAAGTGCTTTTTATGAGAAATGAGAAGAAAGAAGATTCCACTCTGAAACCAGTTTGCAAGGTTTGTAGGTTGCAGTAATAGTTGATTACAAACACATTTTATGTTTTGCTTACATTAATCTTCACACGGGTATATAGTTGCCGATTAATGCTAGTACATGTAGATATCAATATCATATTTTGAATTATCACCTAGCCCTTAAGGCTATCATGAACAGACTTTGAGTACTTGCCAATAATCACATTTAAGACCAAGAAAGAAAATAATTCCACATTAATATTTACCTGATAATTTCACAAGTATCTGAATACATGGTGACAGCTTTGTCATCCGGTACGAGCGGGTCCAACTCAAAGACATTGCCACAGGATGTGAGATATACCACAGCTTCAAAGTAAGTAAGTGCCTTGGCGTGCTTGTCCACCTAACATAGCAACAAATACAAAAATGCCGGTTAAGCTATTTCATGGCTGTCATGAGTTAGAATGTGTTAGGATGGAAAGTTACAGACTAATTTTATGCATACTTCTTGAACAAAAGATTATTTTGAGAACTCCTGAAGCTTGCCAGACATAGCAAGGATAAATTTGAGCAAAGTGGATTCCTTCTATAAGTATGGCGTAGTAAATAGAGAGTGAATCTTGTTACAAATTATTTCATTCACCCGTTTCAGTAGCTAGTATGCAAATTGGACACATTATATATTGTTAGGTAGGGCAAGCTGCCAACCTAGCAACATCTAATGTATACAAATTGCATTATGACTAGTTAGACACAATACTATATGAATATATGGATGATTGATAATGAGGCATTTAAAGTGCTTGCATTAAACTTGATTACATTACAAAAATGGCCTATTACCCCCCACCCTCCTCAAATCAACATTTGCAATAGATTGACCTAAATCCAAATTTGGTGTTATATTTGATTTGTCCCTTTCTAATGGATTGGATGAATAGATAGATGTAATGATGAATTCTTCACTGGATTACCCGATCTTACCTGAGTATCAGCTAAGTGTTTGAGTTTCTTGCCCTCAGCTAGGTAGTCGTCTGCTGTGAATTGTCTGTAATGAGAAAAAAAGGCAAAATATAAAGAATAACATACTTCAATTGTCCGCACAGAAAATACAATGTCATTGTCCATTCAAATGAAGTCGCTCCTTTGATTTATTCTTAGCTACATTTGCAGATGCTTCAAATTTCTCCCCTTTGACTAGATAAATCATCAAGTGCATGTACAAGTATGAAGGGAGAAATGTATATATAATGCAAATAACTGCAAATATTGGAAGAACAAGCTTATACAAAATATATATCATTGGTACTAGATGAATGTAAAACTTAAAAATACAAAATCAAGTGACTGAGTCTACAATTTAAGTTAAACAAGTGCTTTAGCTTGCATTTTTTTACAATCTAAGGAGCAGTTGTGCTAATTTCTCTACATTGGATACTTGTAAAACAATTAAAAGTGGATATAATAATGAGGTACACTGTAAGAAGGAGTTGGAGCAGCAATATTTGAATAAATAATGAGGGATGTTCAAGGGGTACAGGGGTGGGAGGGGTACAGGGGTGGGAGGGGTACAAAGGAGGGGTACAAAGGAGGGGTACAGGGGACAGGGACAGGAAGAGGGGAGGGGGTGCACACTCTAGGCTCGTGAGGAAATCGGGTCAGAAGGTAAAGACTAGCTCGAGAGCTGACAAACGCAACAGCATTCCAAGAGTCGCAAAGGATAGTAAATTTACTTTAAAAACACTCAGAATATAATTCATTAATGTATGATCCAGAAGTGGCATGCATCTTTACAAAGTCCAATGACATCATATATACATGTAGACATGCGGTAGCTAAACAACACCACGGCACGGACTGGAACTAGACAGAACACAATCATCTAAAAGCCATTCAATATTGCCTGGATACTATATAGGCATACATTAATTAATAGATGTATGATATATCTCATCAATCATGCTTTATCGTAATGTAGAGGAAGATCCAAGGGGCTAATGGGGTATGATTCCACCAACACTCGACTCGATAGAAACAAAAATTGAGCTGTTCACATTTGCTTCATATGGATCCTTTTCCTGGTACATGTAGGCCTACTTCACGATGAACAATACAATACTAGTATCAGAAATGTCCTTGTCATATAGTGAGGATGCAGGTTGCAATCATGAGATGCTGCTGCGTTAGACATGCCTCCAGCAAGTACTAAAATGATGGTAGGGCATGGAGTGTTAATGAGGACCCAAATCAAACTTTGAATTACAATCATAACATGGTCTGTAGTGGAGATAAACCAGAGGGATATAATCAACACAACTGCTATGGTGCCGTTTAGACATGGCCGGTAAACTCACAGGTAAGAGGTGACCTTTAGAGGGCCTGTAAACGTCTAAGTTCTACTGGGGGCAGGAAGAATGAGTCAACGGTAACCTGAGAAAGGGGTGGCTCACCCGCAACTAACACAGTCTTCACAAAGAAATACCTGTACAACTACATGCACCAATTCAAGATGAAGAGTGCGAATGCTGCTAATCTTAGAACAAATAGTCGTCAGTCACGTACACCAAACCTCTGAACAATCTGTATATATCTCATATGGGTAGGTCTGCACTACTTTGCCAACTTCCTTTTGAAAGGTAGAAATGCTTTACAGAATCAGAAGAGACATCAATTCAGATTAACGTGAAGACTATATTGTATGCAGACATGCTTAATGTAGATCTCCACATTGCCCAACTGAAGTAAAAACCTGTCAACAGACTATAAACACAAGAAAACAAAATACAATATGTTCAAATGAAAAGAAGCGGCTAATTCCTACGATTCAACAAAACAAAACAAGTCTCTTTATTTATAAGGCTCTCCTCAATAGCTGATGGTATAATATACAGGCCTAAATAACTAAAATTTTAAGGAGATAAAAATACACAAGCTGAAAACTCTTTCCATTAAAAAAAATATATTAGAAAGAGGTAGAGAGGAAAGAAAATACAGAGAGAAAGAGAGAGAGAGAAAAAGAGATAGAGAGGGAGAGAGAAAGAGAGAGAGAGAGAGAGAGAGAGAGAGAGAAAAAGAGAGACAGACAGACAGGTAGAAAAGGAGAGATTGCCAGAGAGGGGGAGGCTACACACTCCCAATATTTTTATGAATTGCTCTGGATACAATCCATGCCCTAGATGCTAACATTTCCATATGGAATAGAATTACATTATTAAAACCAGCACATACCCTTTTCTAATAATAATTCATAACTGGCACCTGATTATTTATCACAAAGGCTCTGAGAAACATATTCATTCCTTCACCATACGTGAGTGAGTGACTCAATATGGTTTGATCGGATCAGAGTCTCATCATCATAATAATGCACATCGGAGCATGTTATCAACTGAACATCACTCCACGTAGCAGCCACAAGTCACATTAGCTTGTGTAACATAATTACTTTCATTAGCATGATTTGGCCCCTGAGACTGACTGAGAGAGAATATGTGACACACATACACACGTATGTATGTACATCCAGGCATTCAGCAATGGAGAGTAGTCTCAGATTTTGTACCCACTATTTATAAAATCATAACAAGCTTCAATTCATTGTAAATGTCAACATAAAAGACAACCTAGTAATTACATACTTAAGATATTTGGTGATAACAAAGAAAAGATAGCAAAAGTATAGACCTTATAGTCCCCAAAAGAAAACGAAAATATCAGATATATTTCTTGACATTTACATATTTTTTGTTAATTACATTTGTACAAATTAAAATTACCCTGAATTAAAGATATCAAACATCAAATCATTTTTTTCACAGTGATGAATAGCTCATCTTGTAAATGTCTCTTTCTTACAATTAATCAATTGATTTATTTCTACTTGTTTGTTGATTTCATAACTAGTGAAAAATAAGTCTGGTAATAATATGAGCCTTTCACACTGGACATGTGGTCATTCTGGTGGTAAATTATAATCTCCATCTTTTCAGAATAAGGATTACAGAAAACCAAAGCTGCAAATGATAAATACTACTACACGACTGCACCCCCATTCTGATCCAAATCAGAAATAAAAGGGTCTGAGACTTGGCAGACTACTGCTCATATTAGCTGGGAATTGCAGAAGGGAATTATGTATGCATCTTGCAGTTAATATGGCAGCGACTAAAAGTGGGGAAATCGAGAATGAGCCGACGATAACACAAGATACGAGACTGGTCGTGCACTTATCAACCAGTGGTTTGTTAGCTTCATGAATTGGATTGAGCGCAAATAATCCTCACACACTTGACAAGAAAGAATAGAGATGTTGGAAAGGAGGAAGGAATTATAACTCTTAATAATTAGATGAATAATATTTATAGTTTCAAGATCATCTTGAGTCAAATTGTATGTGATTGAGTTTACAAATTTGTTGATATGTATTAATAAAATCCTGGACCGTCTTCGAGTAAAGATTAGCTGTGATAATATCTCGTTTTTATTTGTGCAATCTCGTAAGACCTACAGATTACTTTTGATAATATTCTCTAAGCATGCACTTCATAAGTGCTTGAAAAAATGTTAGAATGGTTTAATGCATTAGTGCATTCATAAAGACTTAAATGCCTTTCTCAAAGGAGGTTTCAGTTTTCCCTTAATTAGATCAAGATCTGGAGAATAAGGAAACATAATTATGTATTATTCTCTTATTACATGTAGTGTTTCCTAACTCTTCTGTTATGATACAACATCTCAATGCACTTCCAAAGTGCTTGAAGTTGTTACATTAGAGCATTACATTAGAGCATTAATGAGTTTTAAAAAATACCTTTCTTGAAGTAGGTTTCGCTCATGTGACTTGGATAAGAGATTTGAAGAATGAGGAGGGTTGCATGAATGTAGTAATCTTTTTAAATAACTATTATTCTCTTTTTAATGCTTCACTAATCAAATCAACATTGTATTTTTTTGTATTTTGACCATGAAACTCCTAACAGACTAAAACATTCTACTATGTTTCTCCGAGACAAATTGTAGCCTCACACGCGACAGAGAGAATGTTTACCCCATTTTAACATAGAGTCAACTTAAGAGAAATGGCTAATTTACCGGTAATCAATACACCATAAGGCAGAAGATCATTAGACTAGCATTTAAGCTATTTTTCCCCCTACGCAGAAAGGACAGAAGAGAGAGAGAGAGAGAGATGAATACAGAAAGACAGATTGGTAATATCTCAAGAAATTTTGATATTTGCTTCCGAGACTTAGAAATCACTGGTAGCTTTTACCTATTTCTAACAGAAAGCAGATACCTTTTCAAGAGTTTATTTTACCTAAACAGTTTATAACGAATTTGAAGATAAGTATCTTCCATAAATCTCTAAATAACTTGACAATGCCGCAATTCCTTCAATGATTCTGTTTATTTTCCTTTATAAAGTGGGCTAATGTACTTCTCATAACGTGCAAAATGGAATGGATACAAGTATTTCTAAGCATGGCAGTAGAAATGATAGAAGTCAAATTGCGGCATATTTATCAAAGGAAAGTAATCAATCACAAACAACAATAGCACACTCAGGAGAGGGTGACTGATCACAAAGACTAGGTAATGGATAAGTTTTCATCTCATCCTTGCCAATGGGATAGGTTCACAAGTTCAAACTCACCGCCCCAGCTGTCAATTGATTCATTGCTAGCCTCAATTCACACCAGCAAAATTCATTGTTTAGTTAAACCATGAATTTAACTTATTTTGATGATAAGAGCCATGGTTAAATAAAAATGCAATTAATATTGTTTCTGGTCCGAGTAAAATATCATACAGTCATATGAAACATGAGATTTCAGCAGTTTTGTTCAAAAGCTTGAAGACTTTGATCATGGCTCACTGCCTATGTGAAGTTGTGAACATAATATCTAACTAAAAACTAATAATTGGGTGGGGCTTACTATGAGTGCTCTCTGAAATGACCAGTGCAAGTTACTGTACCCTCGAGCTATGTCCATGATATATACACTACATGATTACACTTAAAACTTGATGTAAGCTGGCCACCCCAAC